ACTTCCGCGGTGTTTTGTGACAAGACTGTTAGGTCTTCTTGGGGCACCTAAACAACAATTAAAAATATATATATATATATATATATATATATATATATTTATTAAATATATACAGATAGCTTGTAAAAATAAACATTATATACTAATAATATTCATTTGTAAATAAAAATAAATATTTTTAAAACATTGATATTGTAAATACATAAACTTTTTTATCAATCGAATCCTTTAATTCAATTTATATTATGATATTTACTATACATAATTATTATAATAAGTGATTCTATACAAAATTTATTTTATAAAATTTGTTATATAAACTACCAATTTGAAATTTAATTTCTATGGTAAATATTTTGTATAATTTCACTCTAAATTTAAAACTTCAAAAGTACCTGTAAAAAACTAACAATAAACTTTCCGTAATGAAATTAATGCATTACAATTCAATGGAATAATTACATTTCCATAATAAGCTGCTTAATATACTTGATGATGAAGTTTATAAATTTGGTCTCTTAAAGTTCGCAAATAACCAAAGTGCAATGTTTGCTTGTCAAAGATACAACGTCCTACTCTGGTCAAAGGTACGCAAGATGAATTTCTTTCTTAAAAATTATCGTCTTAATCCCCATTTTCGGTAAAAAAATAATCATCCAACTTTTTCCATAACAAAAGATGTTGGGTAATATTGAAAATATTGTTATTCAAACAAAAATTTAGGTTTTTCAATTTCAGGTTTTTATAATGTCCAAAGAAACTTTTTTTTTTAATATAATATTTCAAAACTTTTTTACAATACCTTTGTTTATAGTGAACTTAAGGAACACCATTTTGAGTGTTTAGATCAATTTTGCTCAACACGTTAACTTGATTTTGATTAAATTTTTTTGAAAAAAAGCGTCAACCTACTATTGATCTTAGTTCTAATCTGTTCTGATACATATTAATTAAATTTATTTGTCAAAATACAACATTTTCATAAATTTTCACAAAAAGAAATTCGAGTAAGAAAGAGCTTAAAATGAAGAAAAACTGCCTATAAACGATCATAACAAATCATATTATTAAATTATGATGTTTATTTCACCTAAACAACGAATTTATTTAAAATCTTAGTCAAGCAATCGTGATTTTTAGTAGATTTTTTTTAAAAAAAAAGGAACCTTTAATCTTGGTTTTTATCAATACAAACATTTTTATTTTATGTTTCGGCAAAATTTTAAAATTAATTAAAATTAACAATTGTATATTTTATATTCTTCAATATGAACTTGAAAAAACAATGATTATTTTGCCCCAAGAACCTTTAATCCGCCACTGCACACACACACACACACACACAAATTTAAAATCATAAAGACGTTTAAGTATTATTTCATTTTTAAAAAAAACTTTGTTACAAATTTACCGAGTTTGTAATACCATTTAACTAAATTTTTATAATTTTAATAAAGAAATCATTTTATTGCAGTAATGAATTTTACTTTACAGGGTAAGTACTATTTAATTACATTAAATATTTTATTCAAAAGAGAAGCAATATGTTTAAGAATATGGTTTGAAAAACTGCTAATAAATTCTAAAATCTTTTTTTGTTCCTAATTTTTCAACTTATACAACTTTTTGCATTCACATGTAACCAAGCTAATTTTTTGATAGTGTACAGCTAAAGTCCTAAAGTGCACAACAATTTAAAAATTTTCACTTCATCAATCCACATTTTTTGGTAATTTAATTTTTTCAAATCATGAGCGCTCTTTTTAAAAAAATGGAGTTGTTTGAAAAATGGCGGAAGCATAATCAAGAAGAAAGAAACTTTCGTTTATTAGATTTTATTTTACAAATATTTTTTGTTACTGATGTCACTAAAAATTCATTAAGATTTTTGCAGTTAAAAATTTTATTTATTGCGTCAAAGTTCTTAATAAAATGATCTGCAGCACATAAAAAACATCAACATAATCCAGATGATGGACCGGTTCCGATGATGGACCGTTTTTTAAGCTAAAATAAAAGTTAGTTACAGGGAGCAGATATAAAATTTAAAATAAGTATATATCAGTAGTACACCTTTTCATCATCTGGAGGATTTCATGAACGGCACAAAAAAACTTTAAAGACTCTTCCTTTAAAATCAAAAAAACAGATGGTTGAAGACTTATGAGTATCATATGAGAATTATGAGTTGCCTTAGCGCAGTGGTTAGCGCGCTTATCTCAGAAACTGGAGATCCGTGGTTTAACGCCACTTCTGAGCAAGTTTTAAAACATCGGTAAGAAAAGAGACGCAAACTTCTTTTCCAATGCTCGCTCGCGGTGCTCTATGATAAGACCGTAAGGACTTCTTGAGGCACCAGAAATAAATTAGATAAAAAAAAGTTTAAAAAAAAATGCAAAATGGATAAGTGAATTGACCACAGCTGCTGAAGTAGCAAGTCGATGTCAAGGCACAGAAACCAAGCTACTTTAATTAGAAAAGTTTAGATTCATCAAAAAAATAAAATCAAAAGACTTTATCTGCAGTTGCGTGCAGGTGAGTCGTGACGAGGCATTAGCTTACTCTAAATATATTAGTCATTCTTATAAACAGATGCAAAAGTGGTCTTTATAGGGAGGGCATAGAGTATCTCCATTTTATTATAGTCAATACAAGCTGAAAAATGCTTAACTCATAAATTAAGTCTTCAAAATATAGACTATAGTATGTTATCCATTTGATGAACACATTTCTGTTACAGAAACACGTTCCAAATTTAACCTACAAGCCATACTTAGATAAATTACTGAACACCTTATTAAAGCCCAATGTTAAGTTTTTTTAAATCTTACTTACAAGTTTACAACATCTACCGTCAACAGGGGTGACTATGAACAGCGGATTGAAAATGAACATCAGTACCAAGTTTGCTAAAAGGTGAAGAAACACACACAGAGCTATATATTGTGTTACTTTGATTTAGTTGCAAAACTGAGGTGACAAAACATCTTCAAGGGAAAAAAAAAAGAATCTAGAGGTAAAGACACTGTAATGGTTCTTAACAAATTCATTTTAGATATTCTGAAGAACAATCTGATCTTAGGCACAAATCCATTTGCAAAACGAATTTATTCATAATCTAAAAAATAAAAACATGATGTGTCAATGTCACCCCAAATTGACTAATCATTACTCTCGCATCATTTTTAAAAATACGAACATGATCATATAAAATAAGAAAATTAAGATAACGACTGCATGTTGCTTTTTATAATAAATAATAAAAACTTTTCCAGGAAGCTGGGCAGCATAATGTTCTGTTAAAAAAAAAAGTAGTGGTTAGCCTAACAGTTTTCTTCTATGATGCAAATGTTTAAAAAGTGTTCATAGTCATCCTGATTAACAATAATTTACAAGGTTGCAACATCATGTTGCAAACTTGTTGATTACATGTTGTAAACTTGTGCAAACTAGTTTTTGAAGTGACATGTTGAACATGTCAGTATAAAAAACTAGTTTGCAACATTTATATTGTCTTACCAACTTTGAATAACTCAATTGCCATAATTATTTTTATAGAGATTTTTTTTAGTCAAAAATATTCTAATAATTTAATTTAGTGCAATTAATTAACATTATTTATAGTTGAAGGAGTCCCCTTTTGCACAATAGATATAATGTGGTAGTAGACTAGTAGTAAAATATTTGGCTCGTAATCAAAAGGTAGAGGTTTAAATTACCTCTGCTGAAATTACTGTGCTCAATTTATTTCTCCGCACAGCACCCTTGTTTAAAAATTTTAGTTGTTAATGTTGTTTGTTAGTTAAAATGGTAATGTTCTAAGTTGAGGATTGAGACAAAATGTTTTCAAAAAATTAGTTGTTCCTATGACTGAAGTGGTTACTGGAGCAACAGAGAGGTGAATTTATAAAATTAAAAAAAAATTACTGTATACATACAATCATTAAAATTTGGTATTTTGATCGGTTTTTAAAAAAACCCAAAAAACCCATAAAACCCAAAAAAGTATTTTGTTAAAAGAGCTTTCTTCTAGCTATAATATTAATTATTATGAATTTGAAAACCTTTATTCTGAAACCAAATCTCTTTATCTAAGTTTATACCAGTGGTACTATATGCTTGTTACTTGTACATAGCACAGAAGTTATAAAAACATGCCTTCTTCCAATCAGACAGCTATTAGAAGAATCGAGTCTCAAGAAGCCGCATTAGAAATTTTACTTTGGTTCCGCAACATTGAAAAATAAAACTCTCGTACTTCTACAAATATAGATTTGCTCAATATGCTTTTGCTTACATCATCAACTTATACAGAGAATTCTCAAGGAAAAAACCCAGTAAACTAGCGTAGGACCAGGCGAATCCAGACCATCTAGTAAGGGTGGGGCAATTTTTAGGTTTTTTTGTTTCCTTGAATCCAGGAATAAAGTAGAAGCCAGGAGGGAGGGGGGATGGTGTTTTAAGATTCGGTGGATCCAGAATCTCTAAAAGAAAAAGGAAGGGGAGGAGCAATTTTCAGTTTTAAATCATAAAACTGTTCATTTCAAAAAATGCGTTACTAATCAATAAAACATCAAAATATTATTAATTACATTCTTAAAAATAAAATAAAAATAAAAGAACAAGATATTTTGTCCAACTAGCTTGTATAAAGCAATACACTGTGCGGTTTTGACACTCCTTAGCAAAATAATTAATGAATTCTTAGTTATTATTTCAAAAAATCTTCAATTTAATTAAGTACAATTTTTTAAACTAAATTTAGTTGGATTTTTATAAATTTAAATCTTACCTTAATATCTTTTATAAAACAAAAATATTAGTCCATTTTCGCACCGATATAATATAAACTAAGCAATTGTCTCTTGCGGTTCAGAATATATTTATTTTTAGGCAATCTATAAACGAAAGCATGGGAAATTTTGCCCTGCAACAATTAAAAATAAGCTTTTTATCATTAACTGATACTAAAGTAAAGATTTGTTATATTTATATGGAGTTTTTAATTTAATTTTTAGGATCAAACACTTTGGTTATATATATATAGAAATAAAAAAACAAATAAAATGGAGTTAGACGATTCTCTGTTTACAATCTTTGAAGGAAAAGTACCAGATGAAGAAGATGAAGAGATTGTTGTTTCAAAAAAAAGAAAATATACTGAAATTGAAAGCAAATCAGAAAATTTAGAATCAATGTCAAAATTGTCTGATGATCTACCGACATCAGATCAAAATATAGTTAAAGATAATGAGATTACATCAACTAAAAAAATCAAGTTAGATACAACAAGGTTGTTTATCTAAAATTTATAATATTTTAAATTTTATAACTACACTCTGCTATATTTTTATGACTGTTTGTGATTTCTATGCTTATTAAAAGTTAACACTCCCCAAAGTTGCTGTATTTACAATATTGCAAATCTGGGCAAGTAACTCAACTACAATTTGCTATGTTTTTATGACTGATTATAATTTATATACTAATAAGTTTTCCCAAAACAACCCAGTTTAGACCATTCAAACAATGGATATCAGTGATGTCTAAACTAATTAATTACTTAAAGCACCTGAAAATAATTTATTTTTAATATCATAATTAGCAATTATTATAAGTCAAACACATTAATAATAAGAGATAATAAAACAAGCTATGGATTAAAAAAATTTGAAATAATAATATAGGCATCAATTTATTCTCTATGCTTTACTTGTGTAAGTAGAGTAACCAGTTATTTTGTTTGTGACTAATTTAAAAAACATCATAAAAACAGCTAAGTAAATCAAAGTTAAGTACTCTAATAGTTAAATAGATTATTTTTAAAATTTATATTGTTATATTAACTTATTCGTATATTGACTTTATTGTTTGAAATATTATAACGTTTTTAAAGCACTATTTCAAATAACATGTAGAATTTACATTTAAGTTAAATGACCTGGTTTTTAAAGATATTATTTAATAATTATTTCAAAATAACAGTCACTTTTGTCTGCTGAAATATGTAAATAAATTTACATATTTCAGCAGACAAAAAAACAGATGTAATTAAGTATATGTACTTTGACTAACAATTCTTGACAAGGGCATATTACTTATACATATGGGACTATAAAAAGAAACTGTACTTTTATATATTTTTTGAAGTTCATTTCTAATGAGTAGCTAAATCTTTTATATAATTCCTAACCAGAATAAAATTCTTTGAAATAATCAGTCATAAATAAGACATATAAAACTGTAGAAGCAATAATATTTGAAACCAGTTATCAGTTAAATAAATATTGAATTTTTCTCTAGTTCTTTATCAGTTAAATAAATATTGAATTTTTATCTAGTTCTTTAGATGTTCCCTGCATTGAAATTCGTCATTTAGATGCTGCACCATCCTGTACTCATGAAGTGAGTTATTATTAAAGGAAAAGTAAATTTTAAAAATTCTAAATTTGATTATCCCTTTTTTTTTAATTGTAGTTTTTTGATTTTGGTTAAGTTATAATTACAACAAATAAAGGATTACATATAGATTGTAATAGTTTGACCTTAAAACTTTTAAAGTTTTATTAGCTTCATGCTACTTTTAAGTTTTTAACTTTTTTTAAAGTTAAATATATATTGTTTATTGGTTATAGACACAGTTAATAAATAAGTTTTCTAATTCTTTTTATTGTTGCTGCTATTAATACTATTCTTATTATCAATTTTATCTAAATAATTAAGATTAATTGTTTTTTAAAAGCTATAGACTAAAACAGTTGCAAGATTCTATTGCTCTTTAGAATTATCTTTTTTTTTTTCATTATTGCAAGCTTTAAAAGTTTGTTATCTTTTTTTTTGAAGTTTCAAAAACCAAATCTTCAGTTTTTTTTTCTGCAATTTTATTATTAAATTATTGATATCAGAAGAGTAATATATAGAAACTAAATGTCATTCAATATCTTTCCAAAGACTTTGTAATTGTTGTCAGTAATATAAGTAATGTCTACAAACACTTCAGAATCTTTAAGATGTGATGGAAAATCATTAAAAACTAAATAAATAAAATTAAAAATTTGTATCTGATGTTATAGTCCTTTTTCCACAAAATATCTTTGAAAGATTGAAAAACAAAGTCTTGTTATTCTAAACCTGTGTGTGTTACAGTTCTTTATTTTTGAGTTTTAATTTTGTTTTCTTTAATTTTTTTTAAATTAAGGTGCATATTTCAAAATTAAAACATACAAAAATTACTTGGCTTTTTTTTTAAAATATAAATAAGCTATAAATATTTTGAAACTTAAAATATGTCAATGTACATGTGTTTCTATAATTGTCAAATCAATAGGTTGCATTACCAGGAGGTTTTATATATGAAGGTCTTCCATTCAAGCCTGATGAACCAGCTAAGGTAAACTATTTAATGTTTAGAAAACCATTATGTATTAGACAAACATTTGGTTTGTGAATTTATCAAAATTTCACATTTTAGTTACTTTTATCTTTTATCATAGAGTTTTTTTTAATAAATTAGAAGTACCCATTTGTTCTGGATCCATTTCAACAAGAAGCAATTAGATGCTTGGATAACAACCAATCTGTTTTAGTTTCGGCACACACTTCGGCTGGGAAAACTGTGATTGCTGAGTAAATAAGTAGTTTATTATTATAAAAAAATAAGTTTACATGGTTAAAAATTACACAATAAAATTACACACTTAATCAGAAAAATGTTGTAAAATAAACAAGTTTGAAAAAATTATTACTTCTTCGCTGCTTGTATATATTTTTTAGATATGCTATTGCCATGTCTCTCCAAAAAAGACAGAGAGTTATTTATACTACCCCAATTAAGGTATTTTAATCTATTTCAGTAATATCATGTTCATACACATACACAGATGTTTACATACTAATGCTTGTATATAAGTATATAAAATTTTTTTGTTTGGAACTTTGCAAGTTTTGTGTTTTGCTCCATTTATAAATAGTTTTTTTTTAAAACAAGAATGTTTGCTTTTTTTGTATTCAATTGGTAAACAATTTATTCGCAAATTGCAGAATCTTTTTTAATTTTCAATATTATAATATAATACTTTTTTAATTTCAATATTAGCTATAGTTTCCACAATTGTCATTCTGTGTGTTTTAGCAAAAATCGTTTCTTAAACTCTGTACTAATAAATTAAAAAGTATTGATTTTTTGAATTGTGCAGTCAGGGGTGTAATCTCATGGTCGTCCAGTGGCACAGGACAACTGGTTTGCTCAAAAAACATCTAAAATTAAAAAAAAAAAAAATGCATCTCAGTAGCCTGGCAGGATGACAAGACAGTTTTTTATTTACAAAAGAATATCTAAAAACCGTATTTTAAACTATAAAGATTTATTCATTGTGATTATTTAAGAAAAACATTTAAAAAGCATTTAAAGTAGTATACACTTGGTTTAATAATGAATACACTACAGTACGTTATATAGTTTTATTAAACATAATAAAAAGAAGCGATTTAATATTTCAAGGTGCGGCTGTACTGTTTTTTTAAATGTTCTTCTTGCATTTTTTAGCAATTTTCTTCTCAATTTAAAATGAATTTTAAAATTAAATTTTATTTTTATTCGAAATGCTAATGTATCATTTTTAAAATGTTATAGTCATATTTTAAATCCCGTGAATGGGCAATTGAATCATTAATAACACTGAATCTCTTTTTTTTTTTTCATTAGTAAAAAAAAAAAAAAATTATTTTAACTTTGTCAAACAAAATTAATGCAATTAATAATTATGTAATCTAATTTTTTTTTCTTGAGTATTTTCACAGAGAAAAAAAATACAAAAAAAGAATTATTATACCGAACTACTGATTATCATAGTGGGCGACTATAGTAGAAAATATAAACTATTTTAGTTGCCTGCAGGGGGACTAGAAAAATTTGAAGGATACAACCCTGGCAGTGTATAGAAAAACTATTAGGACTATTTAGATTCTTTAAATAACCTGTTTTTCTTATTTAAAGAATCTAAACAGCATAAAAAAGATTTTGAGTTAAGAAAAGATTAAAACACAATCACTTTATTTTTCATTTATTTTGTATTACTTATTTATTTAAGTTGGTTTATTGTGTGCCTTAAAAGCTGTTTTCTAATTTATAGGCGCTCAGTAATCAGAAGTATCGTGAAATGTATGAAGAGTTTCAAGATGTTGGTTTAATGACTGGAGATGTCACAATTAATCCAAATGCAAGTGTGATAATAATGACCACTGAAGTATAAACAAATTTTGTAATTTTATATTTGATATTCAAAACTGAAAAGTTTTAAAAATTTTAAAAATTTTAAAAATTTTATTGTAGATTTTAAGAAGTATGCTGTATAGAGGTTCTGAAGTAAGTTTTATATAATTTATAATAACAATTTATATACAAAAAATGATTAAATTATTTGTTATTCATTTAATTAAATTATTAAAATATAACTTTATAATTTGGTCTATTTGTTTTTTTATTTTTATCTATTTTAATTTCGTATAAGAATTTATTATAAAATTGTGTGTTTTTTATTTATTTATTGATTTAAAGTCTTTACACAATGTGTTCGATAACTCTTAACACAATGTGTTCAATAACTCTTTACGCAATGTGTTCAATAATTTATTTTGTTTAGATAATGCGTGAAGTTGCTTGGGTTGTATTTGATGAAATCCATTATATGAGAGATAAAGGTAATTTTTTGTTTGGAATCTTTTATTATGTAAAAAGTTAAGGTTGTTAAAATATACAACAATATGTATTTAGCATATATTATATTTATGAAAAAAAAAAGAGGAATAACATGATAACTAATGGAATATTAAATACACTAATATTTACTTATATTATAGTTACTTATTTTGGTAATATCCATTATAAAAAAAAACCATTACTGATAATGGTTATAGTTTATATTGATCAAATCCCCATGGTATTTAGTAATTGTAGTTAGGGTTTTATATTATATTTAGTGCTGTTAAGTTTGAACAAAAATTTAAAAAATATTTTTAATTTTTGGAATATTTCAAACTGTTCTAAAATGTTTTTTGCATTTTTTAATCTATATTGATCTAATAAATATCAAATATTGAAAAAAAAAAAATGTAAAAAAAAAACTTTTTTAATAATCTAAAAAATTAAATAAATTCAAGTTTTTAATAAGAAATCAGAGGCTATTTAATTAAATTAATTAATTAATTAAGCTGTCTGCTTAATTCGTAAAATGCTTTTAAAAGAATATTATTGTACTGCTGAGGGAGAACATTAATTTAATTTTTTTCCAATCTTTATCTGTATTTATCTGATATAGGTTTATCTGTTTACCACCCTGTTTAGGAAGAAAACAGTGTTATTTTGTCATATATAGAATATAAGGGTTATGAACTCAATAATAATCATCTCTACTTGACCAGTGTAAAAAAGTGTTAGGTAAATGATGATGCATTAATTTGCAAGGGCATCTTTAGTTTCTTCATCAACTAAGTCAACCTGGTTAGCATATGGTATTTACAGATACATGTTTATTTTTGGATAAACTTACCTATACCAGGTATAAAAATCTTTTATACCTGGCAGATGCCAGCTGAAATGATCATTGCAATAAAAGTGTCCTACCTTATCAGTGATATCTAAATCAATTCTAACAATATTATTTTTTCTTTTTATGGATGTGCTAGTTTTCCTTTTTTTAGATTCAAATTTTCTTGCTTTAGTTTTGGCTGAATTTGTACTGTGTCATAATTCAACCCTCAGGTTCTACTTTATCCAACTTAAAAAAAAATGCCATCATATAGATATTTATTAGGAAATGAAAAATTAAACATTTAAAAAATCCAGGGGGCATTTTGAGACAAAGGGGGTTCAAAACCATATTGAAAATATTGATAATAAGAGAGCCGAGGGGCCTTGATGCTCAACTTGCTAAATTTTTTATATAAAATATAAGTCTAGCATAAAATATACAAATATATTTAATTTTTTTGTTTACATCCCTCTCCCTCCACCTTCCCCAGAAAAGAGCATGCGCTGTGATCCTTGCAATGTACCAAGACTCGCATTTTATGGTACATTCTAAGACTTAATCAAATACTAATGATAATAAATGATGACTTGATGCACCAAAATATACTTTATTTTTATAACATCTTTATGATATATATATATATATATATATATATATATATATATATATATATATATATATATATATATATATATATATAAATTTATATATCTTTTATCTTTATTTAATATTTTATCTTTTAACATTTTTTTCAAATATTTATTTTTGCAAACCCAAATCCGACCTCTTTGTGATTTCCAGACAAAAGATAAATTTTGTAGAAAATTAGATTTTTATTTAATTAAGTTACTACATGGCATTTATAAAGTTAAATGGTATTGTCTTCAAGATACTATCTTTGTTTTGATGAGAAGTCTGAAACTGCCTTATGCAAGCTCTCTCCATGATCTTTGTGACTTGTATCTTGCCCAAGTTGGTTTAAACTTAGAGTGAATTGCTTCTCCAGTTTGTTCTGCAAATCTGGCTTGACCACATTGATTTTCTTCACAAAAAGGAACAATGTGGGCTAACATGATGTGGACCTTCCATGTTATGGGTAATGTGTAAATATAGTCTTTTGAAAATTCCTATTAGATAATTAAATGAGTCTTTTAATCTAGCAATAGAATGCTTGACATTGTGACTAAGGATATCACAGAAGCAGTCACCCACAACACACTTTATATCTTTGTAACATTTAATAATAGGTATGATTCAATATCTTATTACAGTTCACTCTATCAAACCCTCCTCCATGATAGCCATGTCTGAGAATGTATTTTTTAGACAGCCACTGATTAAAGTTTGGCCAGAGAGTAAAAACAAGGTTGTCAAGAACATGAATAAAACCCATAAATGCAGTAATGGTAAAACGCTCGCTTCATAAGCGAGAGGTTCCGAGTTTGATCCCCTCCACGTCTCTGGTAGTACCGTGCTCAACTTGTTTCTCAGCACAGTGGCCTTGTTCGTCAAGGTCTGTGTTTCGGAGTTATAGAGTTGAGAGAGGGTTGCAACCACTATTAAGTAGCCTCATCTGTAGTTGCCTTCTCGGCCTTGAGGAGGTGAATTACAATATATATATATATATATATATATATATATATATATATATATATATATATATATATATATATATATATATATATATACATATATATATATGTATATATATATATATATATATATAAATATATATATATATATAAATATATATATATATAAATATATATATATATAAATATATATATATATATATATATATATATATATATATATATATATATATATATATATATATATATATATATATATATATATATATATATATATATATATATATATATATATATATATATATATATATATATATATATATATATATATACTTACTTCTGTTTTTTATATTATTACTGTTAACTTCAATTTCATCTGCATCAAAGATGTTAAGAATTATTTTCAATAAACCTCCACCTCCATCACTTGAAACTTTTACAATGGTATTATAAGGATTCAACACTCTCTCACTCTCTCACACAATGCTCTCACACAACACTCTCTCACTTATAATGCTCATAGCAAAATCTGAAGAATCTTTTACAAAAACCAGGTTTCTATCAACTTTTTTATACCTAACTTCAAATTTCATGGACTAAACACTGTAATAATTTTTTACAGTTAGTTCAAGATCTGACAGACATTTTTACAGTTAATACAAGGTCTGGCAGAACCGTTGTCACTTCTGACTGAACAACTCTCTTTCCTGTGGCCTTGTTAAGAGTAGAAATCAGTTTTCCAGTTTTTCCTCTGTTTGAAAGATCAAGATTTATTCAAAGTTGCTTGAATGATTCAAAAGAGATTTGTTGGATTTGATATCTGTTTCCTTTGTTCTCAGGACGACCAACTCATCAGAGGTTTTCTGCAGGTAGCTAAATAAAATAGATCACCTGAATTTACTTGTTTTATGTTCATTTTTTCCTTCATTATTGTTGAAACCACCTGCTCTGCACTGTGCAAACCATTTCTAATTCCAATGATGTAAGGTTTTTTACAGCAGTTGGTTTGCAGCATTTGTTCTCTAAGCCACGACTTAAATATATATTGTTGATGATAATTTGACTATACCAATATCATATAATATTCAAAAATCTTCTGTATATATTACCTATTATTGACCAAAATTTAGAGCATATGTTTTCTAGAGAGGTAGAAAAGCCTTCATCAATTTCAATTGTAATAATGTCAGACTTGCGCTACTTGGAAATCCAATCAATCTAAGTAACAGTTATTCAGATCGTTTGATCTTTTTATGACAGAGTTGACATTTGAACATCTTTATATTTTAGCAGATAGTTTAAAATTATATTTTAACAGATGAAATTAAATTAAACCTAACCTTTTCTATCTTCTGTATCCACCTGTATCCACTGAGGTAAGACTCTTTTTAGTTTTTTTCCCCAGCAAACACAAAAATAACTATTTATATTCATTTTTTATTTGCTTTTATAATACTCATGACATTGTTATATGATTATAACAATGTCATGAGTATATACAAATTTTTAAGACATAGAAAACTTATTAAACCAATCAATAAATTTAAATTTTGAAGCATTTTATGCCAAAAGTTATTTAACTTTAAGTTTACATAAAACAAGATTTGTTGCAACATTTTGTAAAAACCATAAGTGCTTCATATTTTTACTTTCTACTGGTAAAATTAATAAAAAGTAAGACCCCCTTTTTTATATTTTGGACGTTATGGCATCATGTCATAATTCGGTATAAATAAGAGCCCAACAACATCCCATCTAGGTACCTTACAAGGATCGCAACGCATATTTTTTTTCTAAGTAAGGTGGTGAAAGAGGGTGTTGACAAAAAATTTAAATATATGTATATTTTATGTTAGATTTATATTTTATAATAAAATATGGCAAATTGGGGGTCAAGGCCCCTCGGCCCTCCTATTATCAATATTTTCTATCAGGTTTTGAACCCCTCAGTCTAAAAATGCACCCTTGGATTTTTAAATTGTTCAATTTTTAATTTTCTAATAAATATCTATATGATGGCATTTTTTTTTTTAAGTTGGATAAAGTACAACCTGAGGGTTATTTTATGAAACAGTGTTTAATGTATTAAATACGTCAACTGCTTTATTTTTTTAAATTTTTTATGCGTCTACTATAATTAAACACAAAATGCATTTCAAACTTAGTAAAAGTTAATCATTATTATTTTTATATTTCATAATGTTATATATTTATTTTTTCAAATTTATTTTAGTAGCTTGTTATTAAATTTAATTAACTTGGGAGAAAGAACAACATATGGTAAAATAATAATGTTAAGTCTAACTACTTTAATAATGATAGTTTTTTTTGTTTTAGTAAAAGTTCACTTGAACTAAATATTTTATCTAAAAGGAAGCAAAAATGAATTGAAGTAGATTAACTGTATCAGAAAGTTAATCTCCTGGATTCTAGCAGCCACGTAAGCTTTCAATAGATTTTAATCCTTTCTCTACTCCATGGATTTTTCCTTATATGTGAAAATCATTATTTTCAAAATAACAGTTCTCTGGAGAACAAAGGTCTTTTTATCACTGCAAAAAAATTGATGCAAAAAGTTTTGACTGGTGCTAAGGTCTATCATTTTTAGATTATTAATCTTGTAATTTGTCTCAGAAGTAAGGTTTTTTTTAGAAAATCTTCACAATGTCATTAACAAAAGTATTTCTAACATTCCGTTACTCACAATGACTCATAAATGAGTCTGATCTTTTACTTCTTCCGAGGATAAAGCAGAATTGTTTGCAAAGAAGATTTTCTCCAATACATTTCTTGAACCTAATGACCACTCTGTTTCTGTGATCACAAAGAAACAGGGTGGTCAGTGTCAGATTTTAGGTAAGTGTCATGGGGGAGGGGCATAGAATGACTAGGGGTTGACAAAGGTTGAGGGTGGCACATTAACCCCTAGAGACGTTTTTTTTTGTTGAGAATTGCACTTATGATTAATTTATTTTATCAATGTTTTTGTATGCTTTTTATAATAACTATTAAGTACATATAAACAATCTAAGAATAAAAAAACAAATAAAGAAATGAAAATAGTTAAAAATAAATAAATAATGATGATTAAAAAAATGTAGCGTTTGAGTGACATACAATCATCATAAAACATGAATAACAAAGTGATGATTAAAAAAATGTAGCATTTGAGTGACATACAAACATCATAAAACATGAATAAAAAAGTGATGATTAAAAAAATGTAGCGTTTGAGTGACATACAAACATCATAAAACATGAATGACAAAGTGATGATTAAAAAAATGTAGCATTTGAGTGACATACAAACATCATAAAACATGAATGACAAAGTAATGTTAAAAAAAATGTAGCATTTGAGTGACATACAATCTAGACAAAAAACAATAATGTCAATCTAGACAAAAAAACAATAAAAGCACTAAACAATCTAAAGTTTGAGTTTGATAAGTCTACTTTGGTTAATTATTATTGTTAAAAAAAAGATACATCATTATTGCAATGGTTTGGTTATTTAAAAATATATTTACACTATACATATTACTTAAAACAAGGATTAAAAAAGAAATTTACTTTCCTGCTAGTTTATACAAAATTTTTTCTGCATGATTTCATTTCCAGCACGTTCATTGGACATCTTAAGAACATCATACAGACTTGTGATGTCTATAAAGTATTGTATTGTTGTCTTACAGATGTCTGTACCTGGTGGGTTGAATCAAAAATGATTTAATGATAAATCAAAGTTAAAGCTCTTAGCAAGCTCACATACTTTTAAAAATGTCAATCCAAAAAGATATTGTTTTGTCATTGTTGATCACAGATAATTTTGATCTATAGTCCACTGAAACTTCTCTCATCATAAGTAGATGTAAAAGGAGTTAAGTCTATTTTGTAGAGTAAAGACAAGTTAGGAAAAACACGATGTCATTTATTTCTCTATTAAGAATGGGTGTACGTTTTTCATTTATAGTTGAGTTGTCATTGGTGGAGATATCGATGCATACACATCTTTAAAAGTAGGGCCAGCGTAAATAGGGTTCAAGTAGGGAGGGGGTACCATACAGGTTTTTGCCGAAAACATTTTAAACACAAAAACAAAGCTAAATTTCTCCACAATGTTGAAATCAGTTAATTTATAGTATTTTTTTCTTCTTTTAAAAAAAAAAAAGTCATTTACCGTTTGCAAAGTCATTATAGTTTTATGAACATCAGTCACAATTTAGTCACAGTAGTTTTAATACAACAATCTGTGTTAAGAATCCAATGACTGTGTACATTATATTATAAGAAATATTTTTTTTAAACAAAACGTCGTAATAATAACAATGGCTATTAATTAATTATTTTTTAAAATATTTAATCCTTTTAAGTTACCTTTCTAGTTAACTATAAAGGCTAAGTTATAAAAGTTTTAACAATTTCTTTATTGTTTTCTTTATGTTTTTTTCCTTAATTTTTCTAAACTAATAGTTTACTGCTAATCTTGTATTCACTGTATTTATATTAATTTTTTATCCTTAAGTTTTTTTCTTCTTTATCACTTTTTATTTATATAGAACGTGGAGTTGTTTGGGAGGAAACAATTATATTGTTACCAGACAACGTACGTCATGTATTCTTGTCTGCTACAATTCATAATGCAAGGCAGTTTGCAGAGTGGATTGCTTATTTACACAAGCAGGTATAAAAAGTTCTACAGCATTTTATCATAAGATATATTTTATAACATTTTTTTTTAATGAATAATTTTTTATCATTTTATCAAGTTATTTAGTTTATTTTCAACTTTAATTGAAAACATTTTCAAATTTTTTTAAATGAATGTTCTTAGTTGAAAACAAGCTTATTGTTTTATAATACACTTAAAACAAATAAAATTTCAGCAATCATCAACTTTAATCTAAATAAAAATTTAACATGAGTCAATAATGAGAACATCTCTTGGACTGTTAATCATGGTTATAAATTTTTTATTTCATCTATAATTGTTACTTACTTTTTTTGTTCATATTATTCACTTTGTTTTAAATGTTGTAAATTTTATAACTCATTTTATGTGAACTGTTGAAAACAATAATGAATTTTAGTATTTAAAAAACAATTTAATATTTTAAAGCATAAAAAATTTATATATAACTAGTGGTGGAGCTCCAGGGTTGAAAGAAGTGAAAATCCAAGTATGCAGAATCCAAAAAATATTTGACTTCAAACTTCATTTAGTAATTGTTATGTTTTTACCTTCCAGAGTATTTAGTAAAAGATAAAGGCTCAAATTTAAAAAAGTTTAAAAGATATTTTTAATTTTCAAAGTGTTTAATTTTCAAACTGTTTTAAACTATATAGTATAGTCTATATTGATATTATAAATAAATATCAAATGAATATATTAAAAATAAAAAGTTCAAATAGAATATTTCTATTGTTTTTCTTCTGTCTCATGATCAACCTTTCTCCTACTGTCTCATAATCAACCATATTAATTTAATTGTCCAGTAAATAAGTTGCTTATATTTTTTATCAGTTCTTCTTGGAATCAAATTTCAATGGGATTAGCCTTCCATGGCATCAGCTTACTATAGGATTAAATTGAATAAAATTCATTTACTTGAATAAATTACAATTAGAACTTTAGTACTCTTGAGTGCCGAATACAACGGGGGTGGGGGGGGTGGGAATAAACGGGTGGGTGGGAGTTTTAGTCAAATCTAATATAGGGGGAGGGGGTGCAAGGGAGATTTTTTCTGAAATTTCATAAACAGGGGGGCAAATTTTTAAGGCCCATTTTCACTGATTTTTTTTTTTACTTTTGAGATATATAATTTTTTTGTTGATAACAAGTAAAAATTAATAAAGGAGGGGGGGTCTTAATAAGCTTAGGGTGGGTGGGAAAAATATCCAAAGATTATTAAACAGGGGGGGGGACGTTTATTAGGAACTCGAGAGTAGATTTTTTAGTCTGTTGTAACTTATTTTTTTTTTCACAGCCATGCCATGTTGTTTACACAGATTTTCGTCCTACACCATTGCAACATTATATATATCCATCAGGGGGTGATGGTTTACATCTTGTTGTTGATGAAAAGGTAATTTTTAAATTAATTTTGTCATAATTTTTGAATATAATTTTATTTTAAATACCACTTTAGTATTTTTAAGAGATTCTGATCAGAAACAAGTTATTAATAAGTGGTTAGGTTACTGTAATACCAATAGTTAGGTTTTAGAAATTATATAATTTATAAATTATTCAGGGTGATTTTCGAGAAGAGAACTTCAATAAAGCCATGAGTTCTTTGCAAGATCAATCAACAGTTGAAGGAAATGCTCAAGGAAAAACAAAAAAAGGAAAAGGAAGTCAGTATTTTTTAATTTTTACAGGCTGTATTCTTCTTATTTTGAATGTTTTTAGTCTGATACATATGAAATTTTTATTATAAAAATAAATTTAGAAATGAAATAATTCAAAACAACAATCACTATTTAATTATATTAAATCTTTTTGAATAATATGTATGTATATGTATATTAAATCATTATTTATGCATAACTATTCATAATAATACAATGTGCAATATGCATAAATAAACACATTTATGCAATTATTGTCATAATACTTATATGAATATTATTTGTAATAATATAATTTAAAAAAATAAATTTGTAACTTAAACATTTTTATTTTTTTTATTTACATTCAAAAAGCATGCAATTTGTTAGGTTGTTAATAATTTTTATATTTATTAATAACCAAATTTCTGTTATGAAATACAAGCAAAATTTTTTTTAAACGCAAAAAATTTTTATAACTATACAGGCTCGGTCTAGAAGTAGCAGCGATCGCTCTCTATTAATGACAACTGAAATAATATTTAGTTGCGAAAAAATGGCCAGATTTTTTAGTCGTTTTGAGAACATTTCAAAAAGCAAAAAAAAAAATGCTCCAAAGATTAATTGAACCAATGAGAAACAATTACAAAAAAAAAAATAAAAAAAATTAGGGAAATAAAATAACTTTTAACGTGAAAAAACTTGAAGCAAAATAAATTATGAACAAATACTTTCAAAACATTGCTATTTTATAATTTTTTAATAATTTGCTTTAAATTTAAAGTAACAATTGTTTAAAAAGGAAACAAATGTTCTTTATTTAACAAAGAGTGTAATATAATTTTTGTTTATTTACTCGTGTCTTATTTCCAGTGCTAGATTAAGGAGGGTTGGGGTTAGAGGGGGCTATAGCCCCCTCCAACCCCAAAAAATTCAAGAAGACTTTTTTGTTTAGTCATTTTTGTGCTGTGGCACATAAAAAAGTATCCGAAATAAAAATAGCCCCCGGCCCCATAAAGTTTAACAATATTCTAGTAAAACTAATGCAAGTTTCAGTTTTATCTAAGCTAAATTATTTTATAAATAAAAAAGTTAATTTTTTTATAACTATTTTATGCTTTGCATAGTTTGAAAAATTTAACATATTTGAAACAATTTTTCTTAGTAAGATGAACAAATGAAATTATTAAATAATTGAATTACTATAGAAATTTAATTAACTTGATCAACTAAATCAACTAAAAAGGTTAAAAATACTTTATGACGAGGAAGCGAAACTGCTTCACAATATTGCTGATGATGTTTAGTAAGTGGGCTTTTTAATTTTAATTAGTATATAAAGCAGAAAAAAGTATAACAAGTTTTTAAGAATGGCAACTGAAGCGAAAATAGTTAGAGTTAGTAAACCAATATCCAAAAACTTTTCTTTATATCTAATAACTTGCTATATATATTTGTGTTCTGTTGTGGTGTTTGTTCATCCATAAGATACTTTGTATGCATGTTTGTGTTTAGTAACTAGAAACTTCTTATATATTTATTACATAATTAGTTTATTAACTTAGATGATAATTAATAAATTCATTGAAAACGCAATTATTTTTGTAAGTTTACAAAGTAAATCTTAAAAATTGCTTTAAAAGATTACATTACAATAAAAAATAGATAAACAAAATTACATTTACATAAAAATACATACTTTTTAAATAAAAAATAAGAATATGCTAATAAAATCTATAATTTATAATAAACTTTTAAAATTTTGATAATTAAAATTATATATTATAAAACATTTATTTTTGTAAACAAATATTAGTTTAAAAGATTTACGGCTTTGCAGATGAGGCTCCGAGAATGAGCCATAGTATTAAAGTATGTTTGATAATATATTCTTAAAACAGTTTATGCTAGAAATCTCAAAATGTAAGAAATCGTAAATAATACAATTAAAATTTAAAACATTTCTAAAACATTTCAATAGAATACTCTAGAACTTTATTTTGCTTAGTCAGCATATTTTTTGAACCAAAAGAATTAGTTTGTTCGTAGCTTTGGTGGGTTTTTAGTGTTCGTGAATATTTTTTTTATTCTTCCGCGCCAAGATGTTTTGAGAACATTCAAGTTTATTATATTTCCATGTATATCCGTAAAACAAAAGTTTTTTGTTACATATATTAACTTAAATGTTCTCAAAACGACTAAAAAATCTGGCCAGTACTTTGCAACTAAATTTTATTTCCGTGGTCAGTATTCGAGAGCGATTGCTCCCGCTTCCAGACCAAACCTGAGTATAGCTAGTTATTTTTCTTTTATTGCAATAATTATGTGATATTTTTTATAAATTTTTAAAGTGTTTTGTTCAAGCTAATTTGTTAACTTTTTTTATCATCCAAAGGTTGATAAATGAGTATCCTCCTCAGCTGTAGTGGAAGCCAATACAGTTTAGGGTTTTTTGTTGTTGTTGTTCTCTCTCTGAACCCTTTAACTTTGAAACCATAACAATGATCAACTAACAATAATCAACAAAGATCAACTTGCTTCTCTGCTTCATAGAGAAATAAGTTGATCGCAATACTACCAGGTTTATGTAAGAATTACACTATTTATGATCGAACTAAGAACTTCTCGTTTACAAAACAAACACTCTACGACTACATTACTAACACAACTTAAATGGTGACGGGTACAAATATCCCATACTTTCAAAAAAGTTTTGTATCTATATTTTCTTAAAATTTTCTGTTTGTGCTTACCTGCAACTCTGTTAAATTTTTCTTAAATGTAACTGGATTTAGCCTAAATTTTGCGACCAAACCATAAATGCTAAGAAACAAGTTTTAAAAAAGTATGTTATGTTGTTATATTCATTATAGATTACTAAAGAATTTATTTGGTTACTTATTAAAGAATTTATTTAGTTATTTTATTTCCCAATTTTTGCCAAGTTTGAATTAAAAATATGAAAAAATAATTAAAATATTTCAGATATTTTAAGCTTGTCTATTGCTATAAATAAGTTTGCTGTAATATTTATTGTTATTAAATGATGAATATACTTATTAAGATTCTGTTAAAAAAATTGTTTTGTATTATTTAACCGTATAAAAGTTTAATTAATAGTATTTGCTAAAATTTTCATTGCAAATATTCTTGAAATTCTTATTTAGTCATGCAAGAATATATTTAATGAAATTTATTTTGTAAACAAAAATGTAACATTTTATTTTCAAAATTGAATAATTATTGCTAAAGATTGCAAAAAAGAGGAATTATGAAGCAAATTTTAAAATTGTAGTTGTTTAGTGGAAAACTTGTAATTGTCAAATATTTTAAACCGCATACTTAAGTTTATATTTAAAAAAAAATGTTGCTTAGTTTGTAATACCTGTAGCAATATTTATTTCCTTTATTTCAACGCAACTGAGACATTGTTTTCCAAGTGACTTAGTTTAACAGTATCCATATTTACACCATTGTTCAGCACCACATTCAAAACGATTTAATTTTAATGCTTTAGTAATTCAAGTTTTCATAGCTGATATGATTGTCAGTTATTTCTTGGTATGAAGTTACCGACATTTTAACGGTTTAGATATCAAAATCCAAATGCAAAATATAATAAAATTACCTTTTTTTTTTCCATATGCAAATTGTTAAAATTTATCAATTCAGACTAAAATGACATTATTACCAATAATTTCGTATTAAAAATTAAATGCTGTCGTTTAAAATTCGGGCTTGAGCTAGCCTCCCTTAATCCAATTATCTTTTAAAAAAATTAAACAGAGTTGCTTGTGACCCATAAAAAGTTTTGAGAATTTTAAAATAAAATTTTTTTTTACAGGAAGTAGGGGCATGCGAAGCACCCTAGCGGTAACCTAAATCTGTATATTATCACTTTTTCATCATTTAAGCAAAGTTGTCATAGTTTTTTCCTAGGTTAAAATGGTTATGCTATATCATTTTTCACTTTAAACAATAATGTTTAAAACTTTAATAAACTATAAATACATAACATAATATAAATACGTAGTTTTTTTAATTTTCCTTTTATTTTGAAGAAGGATGTGTGGAAACCATAATCTGCCTATTCAGATATTTTAGTTAAAGCTAATTAATTTTTATTTCTTGTAAAAGAAGGTGAAATAAAGGTTAAAATTTTATTTTAATATCAAAATTCAGAAGTAGTAGTTTTTCTTTAATTTATAGATGTTAAATTAGTTTTTCTTTAATTTATAGATGATCAAAGAATTCAAGGGAGCTATTATAATTTTTTTTTGTAATCATCTCTTTTTTTGCAATTTTAAATGTTATTCAATATTAAATACTGAATGAAAAAAAAATTTCAGCTGTCATTTTCATTAATCAAGAGGTTTATGTAATCTTTGATTTTTTTAAGAGTTTTTTTTTTAAATCATTGTTTGTAGCTCATAATTATTCATATTTTTTATTTTCTTTTCAGATCAAACTGGTTCAAATGTCTATAAAATTGTTAAAATGATAATGGAACGTAATTACGCTCCAGTGATCATCTTTAGTTTTAGTAAAAAAGAGTGTGAAGGTTATGCTTTACAGATGTCTAAGCTTGATTTTAACACTGGTAACTATTTTTTGTTTTTGTTTTTTGTATTTTTAGGTAATAGATATTTTTGTAGAGTATAATTTGAAAAAAATATTTTACAGCTGAAGAGAAAAAATTGGTTGGAGAAGTGTTTAAAAATGCAATTGATTGTCTTTCTGATGATGATAAAAAGTTACCTCAAGTAAGAGATTTTTTTACTTTCCTTGTCTAAATTATTTTTAAAAAGATATTTAATATAGATTTAAAAGATATATAATATATAGATTTATATAGATATATAAATTTATTATTTTTATTAGATTTGTATATATATATTTTATTAGATTTTAAAAGATAGTATAAATTTATTATATTTATATAGATATACAGGCCTGACAGGAAGCAAGAGTTTTAGCTCTCACTCTCGTCCACACTCCCCTAAAATAGTTTACAGCTGGAACTTACAGCTCTCGTAAATGTATAATTTTTTTGTATAAAAAAATTAATTCGATTAAAAAAGTCAAAGTTTGAGTTTTAAATGGACTTTTTTTGCTTACAAAATATTATTGTTTATATTTTTTGCGTAAGTCACTGAATTTTTTTGTAGTTCTTGAGATTTTACAATAACTATACAAATGGCTTACTTTTAAAAATGGCTTACAAATTACAATACAATACAAGTATAATAAAAATTGTATATTGGCTTGTCGGCTTCATTGGCTTGGCTTGTCGACATTATAATATAAGTTATTTTGTACTGCAAAAGTTTTTTTATTTTAAGTAGAGCAGAATTTTAGTATTATAAATTTTAATATAAATATTACATAATTATAATACAGAGTTAAATTAAAATTAGTAAGATAAAGAAATTTTCTTTTCAAACACAAATATGCAGTTCAGAGATTTTTTTCCTTAAAATCCTTGGTGTAAAATCCTTGGTGTAATATAACTATAACATTGATAACTATAAACAAGTTTGTTTTTTTTAAAAGAAAAGCATTATCATTGTGACTAAGATTAAAAACACTACTTTCTGCATTCTTTTTTGCGTAGCAATAAATGGCGCTCGTTTTGTTCTTGTAATATTAATGTTACAAGCATTTCCTTTAATGAATATAAAGTTAAATTTTGTATTTAAGAAGCTATTTTTTAAAAATAAACATATAACTTACAGCGCTCGAAATAACAGCCGATCAACGATCAATGATCGGCTATTTTTAGGGAAATTTAGAAAAATTCAAGGGAAAATAAGCTGTTTTTGTCAAAAAATTACATTTGATCGGCAAGTTTTGAAAAACTATTTTGAGTGCTGAACTTATGCAAAACTGAAAGCTCCCATAAAAGGCTGTTTAGAAGAGCAGCTCGATTGCTCACCATGTTTTTTTTAGGTGAATTTTTCTATATATATAAATATATAAATTATATTTTTAAAAAAAATTTAAAAAAATGTTTTAATGACACAAATTTTGGTATTGAGTTGTTAATCATAAACTTTTTTTCTTTCATTTAAATAAATAAAATAGTTGCATGTTTGTTGTGTATTTATCATGTATAATTCTTTTTTTTTTTTAATATGATTTAAATAAAAATATAAAAATACTTTATCATGTAAACAATGTAAAGTTTTTTTTGAAAACACTGATAAAAGAAGGACAAACAAATCATGTAAGCTGTTGGTAATTAAGAGCATTGAATGTCTGATAAAATGAAAAATTTATATATATATATATATATATATATATATATATATATATATATATATATATATATATATATATATATATATATATATATATATATATATATATATATATATATATATATATATATATATTGCTTATTTTTAAGCCAGACAAATAAATAAGTGATTAGTTAAAAAAATCAGATTGCCTACACAAAACAAATCTTTATCTCTTTTATTGTCTCATATGGAGCAACAAAGTTTAAAACTATTAGCTGTTACCAAAAAACATATTTCAAATTCAGTTTAGTTGCTTCATCTTCCATACCTGAGTTGGGTAAGAATTAAAGTTTGGTATTAAGAACTTGTATAGTAGTTTTAAACTATTGATTTAAGTATTTGTAGTTTTAAGTAGTGATGCACAGATTGCACATTTGTGGCCAATGCTGATATCAATACTGATGGATAGGAAAAGGTCAATACCGATGCCAATACCGATGGCATAACTAATTAATAAAAAATAAAAAATTAAAGTTTTGAAAATATAAAACCATAAAACTTTAATTTTTATAAACTTTTTCATGATATCAAATCTGGTAAACAAATACTTGGACCCAAATCATAGCCAAACTTTTAGTTTAAAAGATATTAGAAAAGCTCAGTTAAAATAATAAACATTTTTTTTTTTTTTTACTTTGAAAAAAAAAAACTTAAAAAAAAATGCAATTTTAAAATAACACATTTTATTTCAATTTTAAAAAGAAAATAATATAAGGTAAGCAGTCTACTTAAAATTCTGTTACTTTATTAATTTATTAGTAATCAAGATATCTAAACAACAATGTAGAAAGCAATACTTAAATACTAGTAAATTAATAATAAAAGGCTGATGCCGATACCGATTCCAATTGTGCAAAAGGTGGCAGGTTAAGCCGATGCTAATTAATTGGTAGATCATTATTTTTAAGTAAATTGTGCGAATTATGTACATCATGAAACTGTTAAAGCAACTTAAATAAACAGCTGTACTTCAACATTTAAAGATAACTGTGAACAGAATATAATCCAAGTTGATAATCATGATTAAAATAAATCTTCCCTGAATCAAACATGTTCAATTTATAATACTTTAAGTTTTAAAAATATTGCTCTGGCTAGCATGAAACACCAAACTAGCTTAAGAGAAGCTGCTGAAATAGCCACAGCTGCATTGATAGATGAAAATCTTGTAAATAAGTGATTGCCATCTTATTATAGATCATAACAAGTTCAAAAAAGCTCAGGAGAAGTTAACAAAAGAATTAGACAATCAGTTTGAAATAAACCTAGAAAAAAACCCAGTTTCGTGTCTTTTTTTTTGAAGAGAGAGTAGATGCCACAAAAATATTTATTGAAATGAATGAAAGAAATTTTACTAATCTGATTAAAAAAGAACATTACTCTGTTGTTAAAGACCCTAGTGGTGACTATCTTTTTGACCAATAATAATACAAAAAGCTGAAGTTATTGCAGATCATTTAACACCCTTGTAACAAACACAAAGAAATCACAATCTTTTAGTTTATGCTAAATCAACCAAAATTTCAAGTTTTCAAAAATTTTTTCAAACTAATTCTTTTTATAAATTATTAACATAATGAAAAATATTTTTTAAATAGAGTTAAAGAAGAAAATTATAACTGTTTTCATTATTGTTAAACAAAAAAAAAAAAAAAAGATTTTAACAGGTATAAGATAAAAATTAAACCCTAAAAAACCCAAAATTACCTAAAAACCTTCCCAAAACCCCACCCGGTTGGGTTTTTTCTAACCCTGGAGAAAAAAAGTAACAATTATATATTTTATTTCTTGAATAAAAGTTCATTAAAAATGCTTTTAAATAAACTTGCTGAAACATTTTTAACACTTGTTAAATAAAATATTGTACTTTTTTAAATAAATAAATAGCTTATATTCACACATCAGATCACATTCTAAGCCTAAATTTTGTTTTGAAAATCTAGTTGTAGCTTTTTTTTATAAACAATTTGATGATTTTTTTGAAATTTTTTTACCAAACTTTTCTATACTTTTTCCTTATATCTTAGCTTTTCGGATCTGTAAAATACAAGTCTTTACCAAACCTACTATTTCTATACATATCTATTCCGCACCAATTATTTACATGCCTATTCCTTATTACTTCAATATTTTTTAGTAAAACAATTTATTCTAAAAAAAATATTCAAGAGCAAAAAACTTAACATGTGCACCTTTTCCGCAAACATAGGTAAACTTTTCTTAAAGTTTAATTACAAGTAATTATGACAATAATAACGACAATAATAACAACAATAATAACAACAATTAAGAAAAAAATTAAAAAAAGTCAACAGTGGTGGGACTGCATCTTTTCCGCATACATAAAGCTTATAAGAGACTTATAATTAGGTTTTTTTTCTGCTAAATGAATTTCATTAATACCTCAGTGGTTAAGCGCGCTGTCATCAGTTTTGTTTTCGGGAGTTTAAGAGCTCTCAGAGTAATAAATTTAAAAATTTTTTAAATCTTGTTTATATATTTATAGCAAAAAAATAAAAAAAAACTTAAAAAAAAATGCAATTTTAAAATAACACATTTTATTTCAATTTTAAAAAGAAAATAATATAAGGTAAGCAGTCTACTTAAAATTCTGTTACTTTATTAATTTATTAGTAATCAAGATATCTAAACAACAATGTAGAAAGCAATACTTAAATACTAGTAAATTAATAATAAAAGGCTGATGCCGATACCGATTCCAATTGTGCAAAAGGTGGCAGGTTAAGCCGATGCTAATTAATTGGTAGATCATTATTTTTAAGTAAATTGTGCGAATTATGTACATCATGAAACTGTTAAAGCAACTTAAATAAACAGCTGTACTTCAACATTTAAAGATAACTGTGAACAGAATATAATCCAAGTTGATAATCATGATTAAAATAAATCTTCCCTGAATCAAAAAAATTGTGGCTTCAACAGTTTACGAAAAACCCTCGTCTATTATTTTTAACAGTCTAAGAAGCAGATGACATAATTTTAGCAATCAGAAAATATTAAGAGAGGGGCAAATCTAAAATTGAAGTTTTAAATTGAAACTTCAATCTTAGATTTTACATGAGACATATTGTCTCATCCACTTGGATGAGACAATATGTTTCATGTTTTTTCAATATTGTTAATTTTTTTTATATATAATAACATGCATACAAAAAAACAAAACAAAACAGCTTGAGCAAAAAAGACTTGCAATTATTAGAAAAGTTAACCATAAACAATATAGATAAACAAATAACATATTTGTTTATATATATCGTTTATATAGGGATGGTTAAGCGCCAAACCTGCCTATACAACAAAGTTTAAAAAAAAAATTAGTTTTATATTAAAAAAACGATTTATATGTTTCTTTGCAAACACCAATATACTATACTTAAAATTTTTAAGTGCACTAAACTTCAATAACTTTTAATTTTTTTGTTTAGTGGCTTTTGTTAAGAGCTTTTAAATTTTGCGTCTAATTATGTCATTTTAACATATTCATTGTATTATCATACTGCAGCCTTTTTCAAAACGCAAAAAAAAAAATCAGTTTTGATTTTTTTACAAAATAAGTTTAGATGTCTACAAACGTTATTGAGTACATATTTTTAATGTATTCTGAAAAAATTCATAAAAATTATTAGTTTTAAAAAACCTTTTACAAAGAGTTTCTCCTAATAATTTTTTTTAATTATGTTTTTCTCGAAATATATAATAATTATATTAAGGCGTTTTGAATAATGGCTGCAGCATATATTTATAGTAAAAAAATAAATGTAGCAAAAAAAACCTTTTAATTGTCAAAAGAAAGTTTTAAAGTTTTTTCTAGTTGCGGGCTTTTTTTTGTTTTTTTTTGTTTCCACAGCAGCACCTTCTAAAATAGCAGTATAACACTATGTTTTTATTAATTTTTTTCTTTATAAGGTTTTAGACAAATATTTTTTCAGACCATCTGCAGCTTAGGGGTCGTCCATAAATTACGTCACGCTATAGGGGGGAGGGGGGTTGGTGGTTTTGTGACGACTCAAAACTCGCTTCTTAAGTGTCATGATTTTGTGACAAGGGGGGGGGGGGGAGTTTGAAAACGGTCAAAAATTGCGTGACGTAATTTATGGACAACCCCTTATTAGGACTAATTTCCTGAGTACATTAATAACATAAATAGCTCAATCATGACACATACGCCAGAAATTTTTTCTTCCGGTGTTTTGATGTTTTTAGAAATTTTAGCTTTTTAAAAAATCTTTTTGTTTGTTAAAGTGAATAATATTTTTGTATTTAATCTCTATAAAACTTCAAAAGTAACTTTAAAATAATTGAAAAAAAATTAAAAAAAAAAGTTAACAGTGGTAGGACTCAACCAGGGAAAAATTTTTAAAAGTATTTAATGATTTTTTTAATGGAAATAAATGCTACAGATCAAAATTAAGAAGAGCTTGACGCAATGCAATTTTCAAGTGAAAATCAAACGCCACTGTAAAACTTGTCAAAAGTAAAGTCAAACGTCACTGTAAAGCTTGTCGACGCAATGCAATTTTCAAGTGAAAGTCTAAAGTCACTGTAAAATTTGATAAATGTTTCAGTATATTTTAACATTACTTAATTTGAAGTTTATATACATTAGATATTTTCATACACTTTCGCTTACATTTGCTTACAACAAAATGTACTGCAACGCTTTCTTGCCACTACCTTGGTTGCAATGGCTGCCAAGGGTTCCATGTCAAACACACTCAAAGGGGCACTTTGAGTGTGTGAACACTACTACTAAAAAGATTAAGCTTGGCAATAATATATAGAGATATTTAAGACTAAAGTTATTTTTTGAATTTTTTAAAATACTTTAAACTTTCCAGTTTTAAATTCAAGATTATTTGAACAAGAGAATTTTAGAATTGTAAAATTCTGTTGTTCAAATATATTTCTTTTTTTATATATCCTAAAATTAAATTTGCTTATTTTTAGATAATGTTATACCTTAATATTGCTTTAAATATTATGAAAATATTTAAAAAAAGGTATTGTGTTTTTCATATTCTATCCAAAGTTTCTTGTTAAAATAATTTCTGGTTAGAAGCTTTTTATGTATAAGTAACAATAAAAAATATAAAATATGAATTAAAACGTGACTAAACTTAGTTTAGGAATTTTAGAAATAACTAATGAATATACTTAGCATGCCCTAATCTTAGTTTAGGGCATGTTAAGTTTATTTATTAGTTGAATTTAATAACTTAACGGTTGATATGATTGACTTTTTAGGTTTAGGATTAACTTAATGGTTGATATGATTGACTTTTTAGGTTTAGGATTAACTTAATGGTTGATATGATTGACTTTTTAGGTTTAGGATTAACTTAATGGTTGATATGATTGACTTTTTAGGTTTAGGAATAACTTAATGGTTGATATGATTGACTTTTTATGTAAACATAGTGTGAAGTTTATCAATATTACATCACATTAAACTTTAACTATAAAATAGAATGAAGCAGTTGTTAGTTTCCTTGCGGAGAGTAATTAAAATTAAAATTAAAAAGTGCTTCATAATGAACAAAAGTCTCTGTGCAAGAGAGCAAAATAAGAAAGCTAAAATATCTCTTACTTTTATTTAAAAATTAAATTTAGCGTGATATTACTTTATGGGTTAAAATTTACTAAAAAATTAAAAACCTTACACAATAAAATTTAAAATTTTACAAATTTTTCACAGAATAACATATGTTCTGAATTTTAAAGAATAGCCAAAAAAATAAAGGCTAATTAAAAAATTTTTTTTTTAATAAAAAACTAATTGTGATGGCAAGGAAAGCATTCGCGAAGCGCTTAATTCGAGCCCTAGTTTTTTAACTTTGAGAAGTAAAATCGATGTCAACTGTTTTACAATTTGTCAAGTTTTTTCTTTTTAAACTAAACATTTTTTAAAGATGACATGGCAATGACATTTTTTTAAATCAATCAAGTTATTTCTATTTCTAAAATATTTTTTTCAAACTATTCTGTAACATTTAAGATCCTTTGAAAACTTAACCAATAGATTTTAAACTGTGACACAAAAATAACTATTAAAATTTTGCAAAACCTGCTTGCTTTTTAAATAAATGTTAGGTAAACTGTTTATCAAGCTACTGCAAATCAGACTTAGGAAAAAAGTACCTTTTGATGTTAATTAGGTGCCATTCATATTAGGTTGCTAATTATTTAAAATTTTCAAATACTGTTAAGTTCAAAAGTAACACTTAAGTCAGTCTTCTCTGTTTGAAATTTAATGCCAGCGCACAAAAAAGTGCTGGCGGGATAGTCAATTTTTAGTTAGCTTGCGCATTAAATTTTTTTTTTTCTTTTTCTGATATATAAATTAAAATAAATATAGCGAAAAGAATGGTTTGAATAAATACTAGATAAAATAATTAAAAAAAAAACTGGTAAAAAAAAGCAATTTTTCATAAAAGTTGCGCAAATGAACAAAAAACTTTTGTTGCAATTTAAATCAAAATGCTATTAGTTTTATGGCATGCGCTTTTTTATGCACTTGTCAATGTTTTTGACGGCGTATGGGCAAGCGCGAAAAGACTTTAGCGCGAAAATGCTGGCTAAACGGAGAAGACTGCTAAGTATGTTAAGATAAATATTTATATAAAGAAAAATAACATTTTAAGCAGAGTAAAGTTTTGAATAATTTTAAAATATTTTATTTTAAGTTGATTTAAGTAATATAGTTTGTTTTAAAAATATATTTTAGGTTGAACATGTCCTTCCACTTCTGAAAAGAGGTATTGGTATCCATCATGGTGGTTTGTTACCAATTCTAAAGGAAGTCATTGAAATTTTATTCTCTGAAGGACTTATTAAAGCACTTTTTGCAACAGAAACTTTTGCGCTAGGTCTAAATATGCCTGCACGAACAGTATTGTTTACAAGTGCACGAAAATTTGATGGCAAAGATTATAGATGGGTCAGTATTTTTTCAATAATTTTAAAAATAATTTTCCCTTTGCTCAAATTAGCTATTTTATTTGCTACATAGTCTTCCTTTTTAAATATATTACTGTTACATTTTTTTTTGCACTAGATTACGAGTGGTGAATATATACAAATGAGTGGACGAGCTGGTAGACGTGGAATTGATGAGCGTGGCATTGTCATTATGATTGTAGATGAAAAACTTGAACCTGAAATTGGAAAAGGATTATTAAAGGTTGCAAAATGTTTTATATGTACATTTTATATATATTTCTTATATATCATATATATCGTATGTATATATCATATATATATATATATATATATATATATATATATATATATATATATATATATATATATATACACATATATATACATATATATATATATACATATATATATGTTTTATATGTACATTTTATATATATACAAATAGTATTGCGTACTATTGTAAGCAATCTGACGTCATACTGAAATAGCCTGCTGCTGGGGGCTTCAGTACATACA